CTTAGAACTGGTCCTTCCCCCCAGATCTCGGCTGGTACCTGCCGGGCCAGAGGCTTCTCACAGCCCGCAGTAGTGCAGCTGTGGCTGCAGTTTCTACATGTGACCCAACTGTTTCATTTTTCTGTGAGCAAGGACTCCCATCTCTCTGTGGAACTCCACACCAGACACACAGACAGAGGCTTGGGTGAAAGAGGAGGAGGATGGAAAGACGACTGGAGAAACCCAAAGCCTGAAGTCCAAGGACATGACCATCCTCTGAACCATGGGCACCCTGCACAGCCCACCAAGGCTGTGGTCCATTATTAATAGGAAAGGTAACAGATCTTTCTGCACCACACTGACCAAGGCCAGTGTTTCTGGCAGCTAAATGCAAAGGCTGAAATTAATTCCACACAGAAGACGAACTCCAGCTGCACTTATGCTAACTATACTTTTCAAAGGGAAAGACCCGAGGGCCCAGGGAATGAGTGTACTGAGGTATTACTCCACACCAATTCAGTGGCTGTAATATTTGCTGAAGAAATAAATAGGGGGGCTGTTGGAAAGTCCAAGATGCCTTTACAAACACTTCAGTTGGATATTAACACAGACCTCAAACTTGCTTGGAAGTCAGGGTATTTGGAAAATAAGAGCAAATATTTGTAAAGATATAAGCTAGAAATTTATTAATTGCAAATTTAACTGTCACTTAGAAGTGACAGAAAAGCAAGCCATTTCTGTGTATTCGGAGAGAGAGGAGGAGCAAGCCTGAGCAAGACGAGCTGGTAGGCTGCGTTTTGCTTTCTTTTCCATTTCACTGGTTGCTGCCCCCCAATCTGACTAGGGCTTGTGCCTGCTAGCAGCCAAACACTAGCTGTCCCCGCGCAGAAGAAATGGGCGAGAACTCAGAACTGGCAACGCCCACTATCAATGCTACTTTTGTTCTGAAATTTGGTCAAGTGCTGCCACTGCTCACTTCTAGCGGGGGCTGGCACACACGTTGTCCCGGAGGACACAGAGCACAAGCCTTTCTTACAGAGTCATGCTTGCCCCAGGCAGCACACTATGCTCCTTACCAGGACCCTTCCTACTGAACGTATCTCCAGGGCTCTTCCACAACACGGGCTGGGAGAGCTCAGCAACCCCAGGATGAGGGTGAGCACCGCGTTTCCTCCGTGTTTAGGAGTACAGTTTCTAAGCCATCCCTCCAGGCGGGCTTCCAGGACCTGACATGGCTCAAGCGAGATCCTGAGGGAGCGTCCCTGAGAACATCTATGGCCAAAGTCTTCATGGAGGACCAACACTGCTTTGATACCTTTCTAGAGAAAACTGCCTCGGCCTAGCTCTGGGACTCAGAGGGTTGGATGGATGTGTCCGTGCACCGCAGACACAGTGGTCCCACAGGAAGGTCCAGGTGTGGCTGCAGGTGTGCCCTCCACCTTCTGTTTAGAATGAGGGCCGCTGTCCCAGCCGTTTCTAGAATTTTTTTTTTTTTTTGTACTGGGGATTGAACTCAGGGGTGCTTTACAACTGAGCCACATCCCAGCCAGTTTTATTATTTTAGGTTGATAAAGGGTCTCAACTAAGTTGCTCAAGGCCTCTCAATTAAGTTACTGAGACTGGCTTTGAACTCGTGATCCTCCTGCCTCTGCCTCCCAAGCCGCTAGGATTAACAGCCATGTGCTGCCGTGCCCGGCTGTTTCTAGGATGTTTAAAAAGCTTGATCTATCCCTCAGACAGTAACTCACAAGCTCTGCCAACCAGTCAGAAATTGCTATTTGGACTAAAAATCAAAAAGATCACTGGACAAGAAACTTCTCTGTGCCTTTGTTTCCTCATCCGTGAGATGGGGATAATGAGAGCTTCTCACCTTGCAGGGTTGCTGTGGACTGAATGAGCGCTATTTTACAACACATACATGAAGCAGCAGAGGTGGCTACGACTTGCAGCTATTATTTTTATTATTAGTCTTTAATCACATTCTAGTTATTCTTTCCTGTCTCGATTTTTTGCTGTTTTCACTATTGTTTATTTAGTATTTTTCTTTAAGCTGACTCATTTCCTTTCTACCTAAAATTTATTTTAAAAAGAACATCACCATGGCAAATGGGAAAACAGACTTGTGTCATAACCAGAAGGCAAATATAAAAATAAATACAACAAAAGCAAAGCAACATAAACTCAAGCCTACTCTGGCCACAAGCACTGACCCCCAGCCTGCCTGGGGACCCTAAGATGAAAGGGTCAGGGCGCAAAGCAGAGCCCATCTCCTCCAGGCACATGGATGCTGCAGTGCTGCTGCGGGGGAAGGGCCTCTCCCTGCAGGTCTGAGGGCCCCCAGAACCTTCTGTGCAGGTGCCATGTTCTAGGTCTCGCTGTCCAGCACACACATGTATTAAATGTCTGAAACATGGTTTGTGTGACCAAGGAACCGAATGCCTCGATTCAGTCTGCTTTAGTTAGTTTAGACCTCAACACTCACACATGGCCAGTGACTGTCCCCTGAGGAAGCTGCACAGCCAGGCTCTCCACACCATCCACGTCCAGTTGGGGGCTAAGCCCTTAGTCTCCTTCTAGGGAGGTCTTGTGAAATTAGGCAGTGATTTGTCATGGAAATGTAACAGGTTTATTTAGCAAATTTTTTATTATTGCTTAATCAAAAGTCCTAGGTAGACATTGCTTTTAGCGCTCTTTCTGAGGAACTAACATTTTATCACCAGCACTGGAATTATCCAAACAGCCATGTTTCCATTTTTCACACTGGCTGCCAGGAAGCTCTCAGGAAATTTAAAATTCCATAAGAACCACTGTGTTGGATCCCGTGATAAATAGACAGACTTTCCACTTGCCTTCTAAGCTCTCTTAGATATTTGTTCCTTCTCTTTTTTTCATCCTTTTATGTATGTTTTTTTTTCTAGAAATTATCTCAAATCTTTTGAAATTAAATGGCATGCATTTTTTTTTTAATCCTAAAACAAATAATTTCCAATGGTGCCAGGATTTAAAGGAGTCCTCTGCTAGCTAGTATCAGTTATATAAAAAACGCTGTGCAAAATCATCTGAAATGCTTCCAAACATGCTCCGATTTTGCTCCTGAGGCACCAAGCAGACATCGTTAGCTAAAAAGAGAACAATGTGTGCAAGAGGTGCTGTTGGGCCTGCTCCAGCCTCAGGACAGGCTCCCTGAGCCGGGGGCGTGGGCTTAAGCTGCTCTGGGTGATGAGGGAGCTGCCGAAATCTGGGCCACAGCCTGGTGTGCCAGCTGAGCCATGCCCTGGAGAGCTCTGGAAACAGTGAATCGGGGAGAGAGTGGCTTTAAGGCCACTGTGGCCACTGTGGGAACAGTCTCCCAGGCAACAGTAGATTTGCTGTGCCCATCTCACTTCCTAGCTGACTTTCAGAAGCTAAAATCTCTAGATCACTTCATGGGATGGGGACAGGGGAGGGGGGGTATAAAAGGTCAGGGAAACCTCTCAAGTGATGGCACATTTTAATTTTGCTCTAAGATAAAACTGCCTCCTTCACCAGGCAACACCTCCCAGCATTCCAATGACTGCAAAGCAGAACTTGAAGGTCACTCAAATGACCCACTTTGGGTGGGTTTTTTATTTTGTTTTTGTTTCTTTTGCTTTGGGATAAGAAGAGGATATTTGCAAGTCTGTCATATCTGGTTCTCTTTTTAAACCAGAGCTGAGAGCATGTCATCAACACTCAGGCTCTCCCAGTACATATGAAAAGTGCACTGTCGCCCAGATGAATGTGTAAACTAAAATGACTTTCTTGTGCCAGACTCCAGCTCATTGTCTCTGAGATTCTAATATGCACAAGTCATGCTTATATCTGAGACCAAACAGGGCAAACGTCTGAGAAGGCAGGAAATGAAGCACCTCTTCCTAATCTCACAGCAGTTTCACAAGATAAGTGCTGCCACTTCTACTTAGAGACAAACAAGTTTTACCTAAGGTCACAGGACTTAAGCCAGGGCTCCTATTTGCAACTTCAGGGTCCCTTTTCACCATCCTGCTTCCCTGGAGAGAGGTCAATCCCTGCTAAGAAAAATGGCAACCCCGCCCAGGTTTCTACAGAGCTCAGGGGAGTCAGAACTTCACTTCATGAAATCACTGATTTAAGAGGGGAGCGGAAGCAGGAAGTGGCTCAAGAGCGGCACTGAAACGAGCAGTTCCAGAATCAGCAGACACGAGAAGCTATTGTCAGGGTTCAGGGTAAGAAAAAAGTCTGGAAGTAGACAGGGCTCAGAGGGGCATCAGGAAATCAGAGCAAGGAGGAAAACGGGGTTCTCCTGACTGCAAAGTCACCGCCAAAGCAGACAAGGGTCTGCAGACCTAGAAACCCAAGCATCTCCTAGAGAGGCCACCTCTACTGCAGGGAAGCAGAGATGTCCACAATCTGAGCTTGTCAAGTCTCCCTTGCCCCTTCTGTTGAAGACAGTGGCCTGGTTTTCCTCTGGGCCACCACCTCTCCCCTTTCTCAGACATGAGGTCAAGGTCAGTCCCAGCATCAGCCACAGTACACAAGCGAAACTGGGCCAGCCAGGAAAGTCTACCACCCAACCCCAAGGTTCAGGAATGGACCTGAGATCCCAGACAGACCAGCGAGCTGAGGCCCAGGACCCCGCCAAAGCCTGGGGCTGCTGGGAACTCCCATCAGCCGCAGAGACCCAGCCATGCTGGCTGCGCAGCAGGAAGAGGAGGCAGCAGCAGGCTCCTGACCCCAGGCCAAGCATGCCTGAGGCCCGACCTAGCCCAGGACTTGTCACCACCACACCAGCCAACAGATCCCCACGTCTGCTCAAGCAGCCTGAGCTCAGTTCAGCAGCTGTCACCCTGGGAGACTCAACTGGCACTAGGCTCTCCCCTACTCCTCCTCATGGACAAAGGGCCACACACACCTCCTCAGGGCGGCTGGAGGGCTGTGGCCTCCTTCCTACTACAGCACCCCAGCCCCAAGGGGGCTCAGCACCTGGTTAACAAACAGGGCTGGCGTTAGAACCCCGAGCTCACCTGATACACGTGGAATGCATTCGCTGCCTTGCCGCGGAGGAACACCGACGGGATCCAGACGTTGATCAGCGCCCGGTTAGATCTGACCAAGAGAAATCACACTGTCACTTACAGAAACCAACAAGTGGCCACTGTCACTTATAGAAACCAACAACTATACAGAAACCAGCACAGGAAACAATTTTCTCCTCTAAAATTCTGCACAAAAAATTCATACAACATGTATTGCTTGATAGTGAACCTAGGGACCAGTTCAAGTCCCACCCCTCATCTCCCAGGACTGTTTTCAATATATACAACCATATAAATTTATATAACATGTTTTATGTTGTAAGTTTACACATGCAGTTTATTTTTTGAAATGAGAAAGAGCTGCCCTTCCATTCCTGCCTACTGAGGGACCTTGGCCTTCAGAAGATGCCTTGGGCCTAGGATGTGTCTGATGCTCAGGCTCCACCTCTCCTTGGGGACAGCAATAGGGATGTACAGGAAGCCATGCAGAAGGACACCAACAGCTTTAGAGCACCCTGTGGAGCCACACTGTCTCTTCACTGCACTGACTTCAAACTCTCACCCCCATTTCATGTGAGACTCCACAAAAGAGCTCAGGAGACCAACACTCTGAGTGACTGCTGTTTGGGGCAGGAGGTGGGAAGGATACCAGAAAGTAACAAGTGGGAAAACCAGGATGCCAGGCACAAGTACTCTTTCGACTTTTCCAAAAACACTGTCTGTGGGTCTAATGAAGCAAGATTGATATTCAAATACATGGCCGTGGCCACGGCTGTAGCTCACCACAGTGTTGTTCAAGTGTTCTGTTTCCTCACTGACCTCCTGTCTGGTTGTCTTATCTATCAGTAAAAGTGGGGTCCTGAAGTCTCCAACTCTTATAATAGAAGTACCCGTTACTGCCTTCATTTCTATTTTTACATCAAATGTTTTGGGGCTCTGATGTTAGGTGCATACGTGCTTAATGTTGTTACATAGAAATTATTTAATTAGCATTGGTGTGTCACCAAGTGCTACTAGATCTAAGGAGAGTGAATGCCAGGGGGTGTGCTGCCATCTGGGCCAGGCTATGGGGACAGAGTCTGGCAAGCTGAGGAGAGGTTGCAGCTGGAAGGCTGCTTCTGGCAGGGGAGTTAACGTCTGCGAAGACCGGATCAGGAGAGTTTGAACCCCAGCTCAAGCCTGTCATCTGTGAGACGACACCCCTCTGAGAGGTGTGGTGGGACAGTTAGAGCAGCACCTGCACAAAGGAAAAGCTGGCATGCGTGGGCTAAGTGAAGAAGACAGCAGTCCTGGTGGTGGGGAGACCGGTGGCTACAGGAGAGGAACCATCTGGTGTGCAGGGAGGGGAGAGGGCAGGGCTGGAGATGGAGTTAGAGGTCTGCGAGTGCCTTGTTTATGGGACACATGAAGGACTTTTGCCCACAGCAAGTGTTCGGTAGACGTAGTTCCCCAGGCCCTCCCCATCACCAATGACTGGTCTCTGGGAACACCCTCCCACCTTCTGCTCCTCCCAGTTTCTCCCACCATAGTTGTCTCCTCCAGTAGCCATTCTAGTAGCCTCTTCCTGCTGACTGCCACCCACAGGCCAATGGGAAGCAACTCAACCTGGACTTCCATCCTTCACCTCCTCTCCCTGCCCACCCAGATATTACCCCCCTCCCATGGTGGGCCCCCCAGCAATAAGGAACCCCTTGGTGCCCTGGATTTTCTATAATCTCATTCAAATGGCTACCAGAACCCTGCAAGGATGGTATCAGGAGCTTCACCTCAAGTCCCAGAGAGATTCAGTGACTGAGGTTTCAAAGCAGGTCGCCTGGCTCCGAAAAATGTTCTTTCTGATGCCCTGCCCTGCGCTCCCCCTTCAGAAGTGACTTTTCCTGTTTGACCCTTTCTGAGAAGAAAGCTACATTTTCTATTTTCCTTGTCTTTTTGTTTGGAGACAGGGTCCTGCTATGCTGCCCAGGCTGCCTCCACCTCCTGGGCTTGAGTTAGGGGAGGTTGAACCTTCCTCAACAGGCCACATCTGAAGGACAGGGAAGAAGATTCTGCCTGGCCCTTAACCCAGGACTCAGACCACATCCCAAACCCAAGGAAACCTGAATAGAAATCATCTCAAGACCAATGGTTTCTCTAGGGTATCAAGAGGCAAATGGAATCAGAGCTGTGCACAGATCATGGGAGGCTCATGACCCAGGAGATGCAGATACCAATACCTACAAGGGGCTGCTGGGTGAACCGACAGAGAGCGAGGGGTACAGCCGACTCAGCGCACTGCCCTGTGTAAAGGGGACAGCTGCTCCCTGCCCTGGGGACTGTGGCCACAGGCACAGGAATCTAACTTTCAAATGAAATTTTTAAAATTCAAAATTTTATGTGACACCTTCCAAATCTGAAATGTCAGCCAGGGAAAAAGATTTTCAAAAACCCAAGGGGAAGATAAAAAACACCAGAAGGCCCGGGCTGCGGGAGAAGCACCCTCCATGACAACCGAATCAACCTGATGTGGGCTTAATGGTGATTTCTGTTTCCCCGGGGGTTCTTCTGGGACCTGAGCCAGCAACAGAGTCCTGTCTCTAAAGTACCCCTCGTGAGCACATGCCATGGACTTACATTTCAAAATCCGACAAACTCTGGTCTTCGGATGTTTGACTCAAATCTCCAGGCACCTGCCACCAGGGGAGGAGAGAGGAAGAGAGAAAATGCATATGGTTACCATGGTTTGCATAATCACGGACAATTTCTGCCTCGCAATGATTCCCGAACATTTCCTGTTCAGAATGAGGTGAAGAAGCAGTTACTAGAAAATAGTGAGAGATTTTGTGCAGGGATGGCTGGAGATAATGTTGCAGTAATAAAATATGCACCATGAGCCATCTCAATTATCTTTACAGGAAAAGGACTGCTAATCCTATTGAGATAATCACAGGCATGTAAAAGCGTGTAATTTTGGAGCTATAAAGGGCTAATTAGGATCTGAGATGCAAGATATCAGATGGTGATGGGGAAAATATCCATTGTCACCATGATGGGCATCACACAGACACACAAACACCAAAGGCCAATGTCTACCCTGAAACGGCCCTGACCTTTCCCCACAATGTATGAGAAGTTCAGGCAGCACCTGGCTTCTCCTCACTCAGAGGGGCCTTGTGAGGATGTGATGGGGTAAGAGAAACCAGGCTTCAAGGTACAATGGTCCCCACCAGGGCTGCCCAGGGATGCTGATGGAGACAAGGGTCCAGCAGGCACTCAAAAGCCTGTGGGATCCCGAGTGAGCCCCACCCTTCCAGCCTTGATTCTGTCCCAGGGAAACCAATCCTCAGGACTGTCCCAGGATTCACAATTGTTCTATAAAGCAGGTTGCAAAATGCTCAGCACCAGTAGATGCTCCATAAACAGCGATGTTATTCCAAAACCCAGGAAAGGAGCTTCCTTGAGAAACTGAATCCGCTAGGGCTCTAAGATGTGGGCCAAGGCTAAGGGGAACCCAATGGAATGGGGAAGAACATAAGGTAGTGAGGGGAAAAGAGAGACCCTTGAACTCACACCTTCACTTCTCAGGACTTCAGTTTATCCACAATCTTGCCAATTCCATAACAACCCCAGGGACGGGTGTTATCCCCCAACTTTTCGGAGGCGGCAAGAAAGGATGCGTAACTTGCCCAAGATCATATCAGGAAGCAGACAGGAACCCAGGCCTTTAAGACTTCTAAGTTTCCTCTGTCAGGAACCCTCAGCAAAGAGGAAAACCAGCTCAAAGGCAAGGCTTGAAGCCCCTCGGCCTGTGCGGAAGGCTGGACGTGAAGCAGCTCTTCTTGAAGAACTAGGTTCTGGCTTTGAGGGTGAGAGTGCAGTGGATATGGAGCCTGGGCCCAGGGTCAGACCCCTTCTTCCTGTGTGGCTAAGAGCAAATCACTTCTCTGTGTTGTTCTTTTCTCAACTGTGAGGTGGGTGTAACAGTGACATGGGGTTGTCCTGAGGATAGAGTGAGCTGTTATGTGTAAGATACCCAGAGTAGAGCCTGCCGGGAGAAAGATCTCGTATCTCTGAGCTCTGATAGCAGCACCTGTGAAGGCAGGGTCGTGTGTTCTTTACCCTTCAGCAGTGTGTTCAGACACAGAACCTGGCTGGCTAGCTCAAGGGGGCCTTCCCTCTGTACATGGCAGCCACAGGGAGAGCCACTAGGTTGAGCCCTCCACAGACATCTGTGCTGAGCCATCAGCTTGGGCTGCAGGCAGATGTCCCTGTGATGGCACTGCGAACGGACTCCTGCAAAGCAGCCAGGAGGCTCCTGCCTTGCTTCTGGTCAGAGCCCCAGTTTCCTACAGTCTTATATCCCAGGGGTCCAGGGATCTGCTGGGCTGGGCATTGGTGCCAACCCGCTACTGCAGTGACCACCACTTTCCAACAGCTGACTGCAAAGAGATGGAATATTAGGAAACATGAGGCTGCATGTACCAAGATCCAATAAAATATCCATGTCCTGTGACCCAGGAACCCACCAACAAAATTCATCTATAAGAAACCCAAAGACACCACCAAAATTTATGTCAAAGATCATCCCTCTTTACACTGCTTAAAGAACTTAAAGAAAAAGATTACAATCTAAAGATCCAACTGCAGAGAAGTGGTTCAAGAAATTATGATGTCCACATGAGATGGCCAGGTTGAAGAAATTTCAAATAGGCTTTGCATACACGTGTGAATGTGCGTGCAGACACACTGCACACACACACACATTCCTGAGGCTACAGACCTAAAAGTAATTCTGGAAAAATACTTAATAAATAGGAAAAATGGCTATTACCAATAACAGATTAGGGGTGAGATTGGGAGGAAAAAGGCCCATTTTTCATTTCCTCTTTCCGTAAGATTAAAAAAAAAGTATGGCTTAAATTACTTTAAAAAAATGTAATCATGCTTCTGAAGAATGCACTAGCTTTCTCTGTGTTATTATGAAAAGACATCTTAGATAGATCAGTAGGGGAAGCAAAAGCAGGGTGCAGATTAGGGCCAGAACGCTGCCTCGGAGGCAGACGTGGGGAAGTGAGACGATCCCACTGAACCTGTTTCTGCATCAAAAAGCTGAAGACGTGAATCCAAGAGACCAAAGAAAGGGGTGTCCAGGGGCAGGGCCTGAGAGCACAGCACTGGGAATGAGGCTACTCGCAAATACTCTGATGGCATGTGAGTTGTGAAGGAAGTTAAAGAAATTTAATACAAATGTATTAGCTTCCCCCAAAAGAGTGCTTTTGATTAATGTTTCACGAAAGAGATAAAAAACTCTAGTCTCTGTTTAATAACAAGCAGCTAGAGACTGCAAATGCCCAGTGTGTCCCCAGCTCACTTGGTGTCGACAGGGTTGGGGTGAGATGCAGCCAGATGACACAGTGGTTGCCTCTGAGAAGGAGCCAGGTGACAATGGTGGCTTTATCTAAGAAGCCAGGTGACGACAGTGGCTGTATCTGAGAGAGATGCCAGATGACAGGGGCCACATCTAGGAAAGAAGCCAGCTGCCTCTGAGAGACGAGTCTGTGATTTAGATTTGGAACTTTTCAGCATTTTCTACATCAAGGACGTGTTAGTTGAGTGGCCACAGGCAGACACACGTCCTGGAGCAAGCTCAGTGTGCGTCATGTGGTTTCTACATCTCTTTCCCACCCCAGGCATCTCACCAAGATGCAGAAGGCCAGATGGAAGGGGCTTTGCCTTGGCGTTCACTGATCAGGGATGGAAAAGGATGGAGCCAGGGTTCTGCACCCACGTGGCCTTCCAGACACCACCCTCCTCTCTCCCTTGTGCACCCACATGGAGTCCAGTGGGAGGGGCGCGCATCTGCTCCTCAGCAGGACTGTAGGTAGCGCTCGGCCATCGAACGTCTGAATCTTCCCTTGCACCTGGGGCCAGGCAGGCTCTTCTGGGCATGGTGTGTGGATTAAGGATCAGACTGGAGGAGGGACTCACAGGTTCTGGGGACACCAGTTCCCTCATGATGCACAAACACCACCTCCTTTAAGCACAGCCACAGCCCAAACACAAAGGGAACAGAGCTTGTCCCCAGGGGCCTCATTCCCAAGCACCTGAGCATAGGCATCCCACAAAGCAGAAACAAAGGGCAACCAAAGGGATGGAGGGAAGAGACAGACAGGGCGGCCATCTTATTGACAGACATCACTTTACAAGCAACAAACAGCTTCTTCCAAATGGATCAACTCAAGGTCCAGATCAGTTTCCCCTCCAGGCTGCTGGTTTCTGGAGAATCTTAGATGGCAAGTGCATAGGTCTGGGGCCAAGTCCTTTTGATTTAGACATTTTTCTGCTAATGCTGTGACCTTACTGGGAGTAGCAAGCCAGATGTTTGTGTGTCTACCCGAGTGCCCACGAGGCTGTTTAGAAGAACCCGTGAACTTGCAAGCCTCTGCGGAGCATGAGGCCAGGCTCCAGGACAGTAGCAGGGTGACAGTGGCAGACCAGGCTCAGTGAGCATCTTACAACTGTCTTCTTGCTGCCTGCCCAGAATGGCGCCAGAGCTCCCCTGGAGTCCACAGCAAACATCCAGAAAGCTTCCTCTACTTCATATGCTGGTGATAAAAGAGGGTGGGGCAGGGACTATTTTGTACAAAAAAAATCAACTTTCTATTGATATTAGCCACCAACATGCCCTATGGCCTCCTGAAGTCTGGAGGATCTTGAAGGACTCATCTCGGGGACGCGGCCTTCTCTTGGTTCACCTTCCACACAGGGCATAAAGAAATGGGCAGCTCCCCCTCTGCCTGTGGTCTGTGCAATCATGTGGCAATAGCTGGGTACAGGGAGAGCAGAGCCCAGTACTAGGGAAATAGGGCAGCAAGAGTCCTCGATCCTCCTGGAGCAGACGGCAACAGCGTTGCATGTGTGAGGACACGGAAGGGCAGAGATCTGTGAAGAATTCGCTCCTGGTGCAGGAACAGTGGTTTCCACGATCCTTCCTGACTTGGGCTTCCCTGGGCCTGAGAGGCAGGGACGGGCCATGAGGGCAGCTCTCTCATAGGCCTCGAGCTCCGACTCCCACGTCAACATGGACTCCAGCACTGGCTCAGCCTGCACCATGCTTGTCACTTCCCCAAACTTGGGCAGAGCCTAGAAGTTCTACAGCTCTATCAAAGTGGAGGATCGTCCATTGCTTAATAAATGCTTATGAAGGAGCAAGGAGGAGGAGAGAAGGGAGGGGAGGGAAGGAACATCAGCCAATCTGTCAAATCCATGGACAAAAAAAGCAAGCTCCCTCCCTTGGGTGGAATCAGGATCTGGACAGGGCTGGCAAAAGCCTTCCCTCCTCGGAGATGCACTCAACTGCAGCCCCCAGCTGAGTGCTTTCATGTCACAGCTAGTCCCAGGTCCTCTTCTCAACAGCCTGTGGGCAGAGGTGTCACCTCCACTCACAGGCAGGACAAGAGGGCTCCATGTGAATAAACAGGAGGAGGAATATTGTCAGGAACCCACCCAGTCTCCTAGCCTGCTCAGGAGCCTCAGCAATTTCAAGTGCTCAACTATCTCCAGGTGGGGGTAGGATGCATGAGGAATTCTGGTCCATAATTCCATCTACATCATATTGGACAGTCAGCAACAACGGCCGGATGAATAAGGATGCCATCTTGGACATCCAGTTCCGTGCGGCTCCAGATCA